GGGTAATCCTGCGGACCTCTCAATTTGTTAGCTAATGTTTCATAGGGCCGACGACTCCATTTGTCATAACATAACAATATAGCAAAAACCATAAACACTGCGAAAACCATTGACTGTGTTCCAGTCACCGGATATCAAAATATTGAGTAATTGAAATATCCTGAACGAACAACATGAAACATCTTCATCCTAACAATATAATGGTATTCAATATCTATTGAATGTCCAGAATAAAAATGAAAATAGGCTTAAGTGTGCGGGCCAGATGCTGAGTAAAATCTACGTCACCTGGAGACTTCTGTACCCCTATACTTGTTCCACGGCAATGTGTGTTTTAATATAGTGCTCAGCAGGAAGTTTTCGAATATCCCGATTACAGCTAAAAATCACTAGCGTGCGATATGGTGTACATTAATGTTTAATATGTTGTTGTATAAATATATATAATATATATAATATTGACAGAGCATTTATATCAACCAAACTCCGGTCAGAATATTTTCTTTTGTTAGTTATAGCTTATCACCTTATTTTAAATTAATTTTTTTCTATATCCTATATTCCAAACTTCTCACCATCAACAGTGACTACATTAATCGTACGAAGTATGACGGTACTTTTAACTACGTAATTAGTAGTATCAAATCGTCAGAACTAGGTCATTTATTATTTATCAGTTCGAATTTTATTCAATCGTGAAAGTTTTATTGTCATAAAGTTATAATATATTGTTTGTAGTTATCCAGGTCTTTCATTTACCGCGATTACAATTTTAAATTTCTCATGTGCGTATGCGTGTGTAATGTATCCGTAAACAGAATATTTATAAAAAGCAAGTCCGCAGTAGTAATCGTAGCGGTCGGATGACGAACAACCTCATGTGAATGTTATGAATATGAGAGATAAACATTTTTATTATAGCTACCACGGATTGACTTGTAAATTACCGGAAGTGCCGAAAAAAATACAGTTCAAACTGTAGGACTCTGTGCACCTATAACATAAATAATATCAAAAAATATAATAAATAAAATTAATAAGAAAAAATTACTTAATAATTAAAGTATTTACCTTTTTAACAATCAGTCCATTAGCTATAGCCTGCTTCAAATTGCGGTAATGAATGATGTAATTTTTTTTCTCTTCCATCGTCGCCATCAATTTTTTCACCTTAGAGCCTGGTGGTACTTCATTATTCGGCAAAAAAGGCAAATCGTTGTGGTTCATGTATAGGTGTTCCGGGTATTCTACATCCACCTCGTATACCCTCCCTATCGGTGACGTGTCGTCCAAATCCTCCAAACCGTTTAATGTAGGCTTTACACACTGGATCCCGCCGTGGAACATGTACTGTGACAAGGCCCACCCGTACAAATTGTTACCTAAAACAAACAGTAAAAAAAAAATTATAAATGACTGATGTATATATTTTTTAAATAATATGTATACTTCCAATCCTGGTATATAATCCACGAATCTTCTTTCGTTCTGTCATAGTCCGGCACCGTATAATTATTCACCTTCGCGTACCGCATATTCGCCTGCATCGAGTTCAAGTTCTACCATAGTGTATTTCAACATACAGTCGAAACTGAATCAGGGCGCCGTATAGTAGTAGGCCGAATTTAAATTGCATGTCGTCATATAAATATCGCTGAAGTTTTCAAACACATCGACCAATAACATGACGTCGGTTTTCAAATAAAGGCCACTGTACTCGCCAAGTGTACGACAGTTGAAATGATTCCATACGTTTTTCGCGTGAATGTACTCCGCATCTTTGATATTTTCTTCGGTCAACGTACTGTAAAATTGGTCTTTCTCCAGTACAATTTCGTCTTCCAATTTCTCCCAGCTATCCGTGTACTCGTACGGGTACACTCCCTTACGAGTTACAAGCGGCATGTCTTCGATGTTAAATACTTTTTTGGATTCGCGAAACTTCTTAAAATCGGATGTGTGTAGGTACGATGCGAGAGACGAAAGACTTGACGCCATAAATTGAAAGGTGTCTATAAATCGTCACATTACAAGCTCCTGCTTGTGATCACAGTAGGTATACCGATACAAGAATTATGTATATATATTTGGCATAATCATAATAATATAAAATATGGTATAACTTGTGATAACAGTAGGTATAACATAAGGTATAACGATAAGTATAACTTGTGATAACAGTAGGTATAACATAAGGTATAACGATAAGTATAACTTGTGATAACAGCAGACATAACCGTGTGATAAGAGTGTGGTAATAATATCAAAACTGGGCGTGACCTAAATGGTCTATGAAGTGGTGGGCAATTCGGGAAGCCATGTATTAGGAATAGCACTTCGTCCTATATTTTTTAGGAAAAATTAGGATGAAACGTAAGAACAACGGGAAATTTAAAAAAATGAATGTTTTTATTATTTTTAAATTTTGATATTAGTTGTAATTCATTTTTAAATATTCATTGAGCATTAAAATTTGAACGGTAAACTCATATTTGCTTTCTATAAAATCATTTAAATTTATAAAAAATTAAAGCTATTTTTAACGTAGTTTATATTTGCAATATATAATATGGTAAATTTGTTAGACTTAACAAAAACAATTAAAAAATTAACAAGATGTTCATAGAGTGATATTTATGTTAAAAGAAAAAAAAATGAATTTAATGTAGTATTCTTGTTTAAAAATAAACTTTATTATCACATTTGTACAGAAATATCTAATGTTTATGTGGAAAAATATTTAATATTTTTAAAATATTATTAGAGAAATTATATAATGCTAATTTAATTATTTTACCATGATTTCACATATTCATACTTTACAAAGCATCATTACCTACTGAACTCCGATTAGAATCGTTAACAAAGGTTTACCGTTGCTTATAAATAAAAATTAATTTCCCCTCTATATTCTACTCAACCATTTTCTCACCAACAACAGTGGTTGCAACTATCGTGGGAGGTATGTCAGTCCTTTGAAATTTGTATATACTACATAACATTGTCAAAACATTAATGAGATTTTGAACATAGACAACAATAATTTTATCGAATAAAGATATTATCCACGATAAAACTTTTCATTATAATTATTTCTATTTCTACACTAAATGATTATAATTAGCATACGAGATAAATAATTTTCTAAAATTTTTATTAACCAAACAGATAAGTTAATCATAGGGAGATTAAAAATTAAAATTGAATTGCATACAAGGTAATATTCTACACAATTGATTAAATAAATAATAGTTATAATAAAATACACAAAACATCTTAGATACATTATTATTTGTAATTCGTCTTAGTATTCTAGTTTATTTATTGAATTGTTTTAACAGGTAAGCATTTCGGCTTTATTAAATTACATTATTACTTTTGTTTTCTTGATTGAATGGTTATGGGGAAACCAACGGTATTTTGTAATGATATTCCTACATTTAGCTTCATATCACTGAGTTTCATATCTGTGTGCACACTGAAGTTCCGTAAAACGTCACTGAGTAAAAGTGTCATGAATAATAAACCGTATTTCATTCCTATAATTAAATACAAACGATTAATAAATTAGAAAATCATAGGTCCATTACTTTCTCATACCTATGCAGTTTCTTGGACCACCACCAAAAGCAATGAAACTATATTTATGACGTTTAGCGACATTGTCGGCATTAAAGTTATCCGGATTAAATGACTTGGGATTCGGATACAGCTCAGGATTCCGATGTGTAATCAAAGGGAACATACCGCATATTGTTCCTTTCGGCAGTGTGTGATTACCTGAAACTAAACATAATTGTTAAACTATTTTATTTTACACCATATAATATACATTATGTTCGCACTAATTGTGACATCATCTTGCAGTTCCCTGAACATAACTGGTGCGGTCGGGAATAAACGGAGAGTTTCGTGTATTACTTGTTTCAAATAAACTAGACTAGTCGTTTGTTCAAAAGTAAATGGTTCATCACTGTCACCTAATATGCTATAAATTTCGTCGTAAACTCTGTCCTTAAATTAATATTTTTGAAACGGATATTAATATCAAATATTTAAACAGCAAAAACTACTTAATAACTTACTTGAATATCTGGATAGATAGCTAATAACAAAAGACAATAACTACCAGTCATTGAAGTAGTTTCGAAACCCTATAAATATAAAAATTATGCATTACTTGTAGTTGCAAATTATTTCGAGTATTTTAAACTTACAGCCGCTATCATAGTTATCGCATGACTCTTAATTTCCTCATCGCTCAAGCCCAATCCGGCTTCGTTTGAGTCCATTAAAGTTTCTAATAATCCTTTATAACATTTCTCTAAATAATTTAAAAAAAAAAAAAAACTGGTAGTTATAATAACTTATACAATTACAGAATTNAAAGTATTTGGAGTATTTTGATCTTACACCCGCTACTATAGTTATCACATGACTCTTAATATCCTCATCGCTCAAGCCCGATTCGGCGTCGTTTGAGTCCATTAAAGTTTCTAATAATCCTTTATAACATTTCTCTAAATAATTTAAATAAAAAAAAAACTGGTAGTTATAATAACTTGTACAATTACAGAATTTAAATTTATCAATTTTGTTGACATATCTCAGATGACACGATAACCACCTACAGTTTGGTTAATAAAAAACTATCCGGTAGTATATCGTTAAAACAATCACTCACTTTCGCCATCGTTTACATCTGTGCCTGTCTTGATTTTATTTTTAAATTTTTGTGCTAATTCGTTTTTCTTTTTCTCGATTACCTGAAAAATTAAAATTAAAATTAAAAAGCATTTCATTTATTTTTATATCCCACATACACATACATGCTTTGGTAAGTTTTGAACATTTGTATAATATTTTTCATAGTCAAACAATTTGATATAAAGATTATATATAATTTCAGGATACAACCAAACTTTAGTTGCTCTATTAAATATCAATTCAGAGCCTCTGCAAAAAAATAATATTTTTGTCTATAACTAGATGATTTAACATATGAATTGTAATTTAGTTCGTTAATATGTAAATGTTTTACATTCTGACACACTTTTTGAAACCCATATCTGTTTGAGAGTCGAGGTTGTAATCCATTGTTGTTTCTAAAAAGGCAATTAAGCATCTTTCTAAAAAGGCAATTAAGCATCAATAATATTACTAATAGTAATCACTGCAAGTATAATAGTAGTAATCACTGCAAGTATAATAGTAT